GATCTGAATAGCCTTCCTGCTGAAACTGCATCTTAATTGCAGAGCAGAAAAAGTAGAGAATATCTCCTCCCCTTGGTGCTAGTAATAGCAGTACGGACATGATGTTTTATTTGGCCCCAATTTTTATTTTTAACGAGAACGATAATTGTATAAAAGTAAAATAATCCAACAGATATAAGAAACTCCTCTCGCAACACTTTCTCCCCCTCTTTGGGAAAAAACAACAACACACAAACCCAGGCTTAAAAGCTAGCCGCTTTTTTGTTTTCATGGAAGTAGGAAGAAATGACCGACTTGTAACTTTCAAGAACACTAAGCATTGCAAAAACAACAAAGAATATTTTTGTCTGAATTCTTTTAAAACATTTCCTTTGCAAAAAAACACCACCACCTCAAATGTTGAGGAGCAGCAGCCTCTCTTCCCAATTTTCCATGAACAGCCTCCACACTTGAATTAAGTGTAATTGCCCAGGATTACAGCCTCTCTTGGCTGAGAAGGCAGAAGAATCTCCAGATAACAGTGTCCTGAACTGCACGGTGCAAAGTAGCATAGCTTTTCCTCCCTGTTAAACAGCTGGCACAGACTTTGCCTTTCACTGTTGAGATAAGGCCCAGTGGCGTAGCGTGGGTTGTCAGCACCCGGGGCAAGGCAAGTAATTTGTGCCCCCTAAACCATGGATTTTAGCACTCGAGCCAGGTAGGGGCAGAGAGCTGCGAGTGCGAGCGCCCCCCCAGATGTTGCGCCCGGTGCGGCCAGCCCCCCTGCACCCCCCACGCTACGACACTGATAAGGCCTGCTATATATCCATCCAAATAGCTGTGTGGATGCAGCACTAATCTGTGTTTTAACATACACGTTCACAAAGGTGTTTTTGGCCAACCCATTAAATATAGGATAAAGACAGGTGACTCATAGACCCACAAAACAGTATTTAAGGCAATCTGTGTCAGTACTGATGTATGGAAGTGAGAGCTGGACCATAAAGAAGGCTGATCACCAAAGAATTGATGCTCTTGAATTATGGTGCTGGAGGAGACTCTTGAGAGTCCCATGGACTGCAAGAAGATCAAACCTATCCATTCTGAAGGAAATCAGCCCTGAGTGCTCACTGGAAGGACAGATCATGAAGCTGAGGCTCCAGTACTTTGGCCACCTCATGAGAAGAGAAGACTCCCTGGAAAAGACCCTGATGTTGGGAAAGATGGAGGGCACAAGGAGAAGGGGACGACAGAGGACAAGATGGTTGGACAGTGTTCTGGAAGCTACTAACATGAGTTTGACCAAACTGCGGGAGGCAGTGGAAGACAGGAATGCCTGGCGTGCTCTGGTCCTTGAGTCACGGAGAGTCGGACACGACTAAATGACTAAACAACAACAACAAAGTGCCAACGTTTCATTAGGCGGAAGGCGGATAGAGGAACTTGGCTTCTGCTTTTATGAAAAGGCATGGAAATCAGTTGGGGTTTTTTAAAGGCTTTTCTCTCCGTTGCCTAGCACTGAGATGGTGCTTTAAAATGCTTGGGATGGAAGATATGTGGTGACTTTAAGACTGGCCAATAGCAGGAGACTCATGAGGGAGGAATGTTTTGGCCTAGCGGGCCCCCGCAAACTCTTTATTTGTATTTACAATGGCAGTTTCTCCCCATGTACTACCGTCGTTGCGCTTACAAGTTTAAAGCTGCTGCATTGCCTCTTGGGAATGGGGGGGAGCATACTTCCACGTTTATCAAGTGAGCACCCCTATTTGAACTCCATGTCAATCATCCCTGGCAACCATCCTTCCTTACTCTTCCCTATTCTCACCAAGATCTCTCTGAACTCAGTTCCCCTCACACTATGAACTCCACCTGTTCACGCTGAGCACTGGCTATACTAGTAGCAAGAACATTATGACCTAGCGAGAGCATTTCCAGAATGTGCTCAGCACTGTTCACGGCCCTCATTATGGCCCCATGTGCACCATACATTCAAAGCATTTCATACTGCTTTTTAAACAGCCGTGGCTTTACACCAAGAATCACAGGAACTATAGTTTCTTAAGGGTGCGAAAAGTTGTTTAGAGACCCCAATTCCCCCTGCAGAGCTACAATTCCCGGAGTGGTTGAACAGTCAATCCCTCTTCCCAGGGAACTCTGGGAATTGTAGCTCTCTGCAACCTGAACAAATCAGGGCTCTTTGTGGAGGGCGGACCATGAACTGTTTAAAGTGGTATGATGCTGCTTTAAATGTACAGTGCAAACATGGTCTTATTAGTTATAATTTGTGGGAGCACAAAGACCAAGAAAGGCAAGCTGTATGATAAGGAGGCATATGAGATACTACAGTGATACCTCGAGTTGAATGCGCTTCGGGTTGAGCGCGTTTGAGTTGTGCTCCGTGGCAACCCGGAAGTAACGGAGTGCGTTACTTCCGGGTTTCGCCGCTCGCGCATGTGCATGTGCATACGCTCAAAATGACGTCATGCGCATGTGCGGTAGTGGCAAAACATGCCCCGCGCACGTGCTGACGCACCGTCGCGTCTTGTGTTCCGTTCGTGATGCGAACGGGGCTCTGGAACGGATCCCGTTCGCATCCCGAGGTACCGCTGTGGTTAGGACTAGAAAAGAGGAGATGCATGTTATGGCCAGAGCCTACTGCCTGTAACAATTCTTAATTAAGAAAAATAATAAGTATTTTTTAAGATTTTGTACAGCATCCTCTCCATTAGCCCATTAAATGATTAAGAATAGGATGCAGGGAGTGGCGAGTTAACTAGGACAACTAGAAACACTCACATGTGTTTATGCGAATCTGTGTAACTAATTTACACAATCTCTCAGGAGGGGGCTTGCAAGCATTTGAGAATTGCAGAGCTCCCTGTCTGGCTAATGGCTAGGAGCTGAGTTTAATGCAAGTAGGTATATCCTTCCTCTGCATTCCCCACGTAAGAATTTCACCAGGCAGTGTTCCTTTATTCCTTGGTATGTGTTTAATTATATTGCTCGTATGTGCCCAGAGGACTTTGGCAGCACGCATAAAGGAGAAAAATTGTGTGTGTGTGTGTGTGTGTATTATTTATGATGATTATTAGCAGGATTCTTCATACTGCATGAAATTCATATTCCAGAGACCGCATTGTACAAAACGAACCCAAACACCTCCTTTTCTACAGCTGTGCATTCCTTGCAGTGTGGTCCCTGTCTGTTTCTTAGCAATATGTCAGGCCTTTGCAATCTATTGAATAGCTTGGCAGTTGCACGAGGCTGTCTGCCTGTTAGAACCATCTGTTGCTAACTCCATCCTGGTGTGAAAGCCTACCATTTCATATGTCTAATATTTCAGATATTTGCCTGCTGGCTGCCACGAGAGTTCTGAATGAACAAGGACTTGCAATCTGGACGGAGACTCTGCATTCTTTTCTCTCAAAGGCTTTGGGAACTGTGACTTCCTGGGTTATTGTTGTTGTTTTTAAAAAACTATGCCAGCAGACTGTTCTCTGGTGGAACAAACTGAACAACCCACTGGGAGTTGGCTGGTTTTTTCTATTATTATTATTTGTGCCTAAGACAATTTTCCTTCTGGAATTTGATTAGCTTGTCTGCATGTCGTGGAGACTGTGTGTTATGGAGAGTTACCGCTGAAAGCAGCAGCTCCTTCGCCATCTTCTCTCCCCTTCGTTTGTAATGCCCCAGGCCATTGGTTACTGCTTACCGGGGACAGAGAGACTCAAGGCATGATGATGCCATGGTGCATGTTTTGTAGAGCTACATGGGAAATGTAAACTGAGGGCTCACCCACACTTACATTTGCCCTACATTTCTAAGTGCAGGTCCATAGAACCACAGAATTGAAGAGTTGGAAGGGACTACGAGGGTCATCTAATCCAGGGTTCTCCAAACTTGGGTCTCCAGCTGTTTTGGGACTACAATCCCCATCATCCCTGACCACTGGTCCTGCTAGCTAGGGATGATGGGAGTTGTAGTCCAAAATCAGCTGGAGACCCAAGTTTGGGAAACCCTGATCTGGTCCAACCCCCTGCAATGTAGGAATCCTTTTGCCCAACGTGGGACTTGAACCCACAACCCTGAGATTAAGTGTCTCATGCTCTACTAATTGTCTTTTGCCCAGGCATCAGTGTGGTGTAGTGGTTAAGAGCGGTGGACTCGTAATCTGGTGAACCGGGTTCGCGTCTCCGCTCCTCCACATGCAGCTGCTGGGTGACCTTGGGCCAGTCACACTTCTCTGAAGTCTCTCAGCCTCACTCACCTCAGGGGAGGAAGGGAAAGGAGAATGTTAGCCGCTTTGAGACTCTTTCGGGTAGTGATAAAGCGGGATATCAAATCCAAACTCTTCTTCGTCTTCTTCTTTCCCCGTGAAAACCTGCTCTTTACTGCTGGGTCAGAGCAAACGACAATCTTGCAAAAACCTGAATTGCCATTTGTTCCGATTCAGCGTTAAAGAGTGGGTTTTGCCAAAGGAAACCCTGTTGGGGCAGGGTGGGCAGGCTGCACATCTCTCCATGCAATGGGCAACAGAGGAGGAATCTTTCATACCTGATAACAAAGGAGCGGAGGTCGGGTATGAGTGATCCCTCTTTCTCTCATAGAATTGTAGAGTTGGAAGGGACCTCACCTTTCTGCACGTTACTATAACAGCTGCAAGCAGAGCTCCTGTTGCTCTGTCCCAGCTCCTGCCAACCTAGCAGTTGAAAAGCACACCAGTGCAAGTAGATAAATAGGTACCACTGCGGTGGGAAGGTAAACGGCGTTTCTGTGTGCTCTGGCATTTATCACAGTGTTCTGTGCGCCAGAAGCGTTTTACTCATGCTGGCCACATGACCCAGAAAGCTGTCTGTGGACAAACGCCAGCTCCCTCAGCCAGAAAAGCGAGATGAGTGCCGCAACCCCACAGTCTCCTTTGACTGGACTTAACCACCCAGGAGTCCTTTACTATTCTCCTACAGTAGCTATAAATGCCAGTTCTGTGAGGAAGTTTCTGGGCACAACAAGCTCTTGCTTACCTGGCTCCTGCTGCCCCTTGGCCTCCAGCTTGCTATCCTTCACCGGATCCCCGCTGCTGCTCCCATGCTGTGCTGGCTCAAGGGTCTCTTGCTCTGTACTTTTGAGAGGTTCATTTACACTGAAGAGTTGTCCCTCCTCAAGGATCGGCAGCGTGGCAAAAGCCCTTTTCTTTTTATTCTCTTTTCTCTCGCCTCGGATGTGACTCCATGGGCTTCTAATCCAAAGGGGGTAGGGATTTAATGTGTTTTACACACACACACACACACACACACACACACACACAGGGACATGGGTGGTGCTGTGGTCTAAACCATAGAGCCTAGGGCTTGCCGATCAGAAGGTTGGCGGTTCGAATCCTTGTGACGTGGTGAGCTCCTATTGCTCGGTCCCAGCTCCTGCCCACTTAGCAGTTCGAAAGCACATCAAGCGTAAGTATATAAATCGGTACTGCTCTGGCGGGAAGGTAAACGGTGTTTCCGTGTGCTGCTCTGGTTCGCCAGAAGCGGCTTTGTCATGCTGTCATGCCACATGACCCGGAAGCTGTCTGTGGACAAACGCCGGCTCCCCTGGCCTATAGAGTGAGAAGAGCGCCACAACCCCAGAGTTGTCCACGACGGGACCTAATGGTCAGGGGTCCCTTTACCTTTACACACACTATATGTGTGAAATAAACACACACACACACACACACACACACACACATGCTTATATCCCATTTCATGTAAACAAAAAAACAAACAAAATATTGTTCACTTAAACGTCTACATTTTGTATTTATGCTTGCTTTGCCATTTACAAAGAACACATCTCATACAGTCATTCAAAAGATTAATGAAAGCCAACACGGAACACGAGCTGAGAGAATGTTTAACCGAAATATAAATAAAATAAGCAATTTAGAAATAACCGCACATTAAAAAAAAAGTATGTGTTAATGTGTACGACTCACTTGCAAGTAGTGCTGTCAGGTACCCTTGTAGGGATTTCGTACAAGTACTATACCTGATGTCCCTTAACAAAGAGATGCTTAATGGTGGCCAGTTATTCACAGTTGGGCTGTGTTTATGCCCCTGCCCCTGCATTGCGGAGCCACAAGGGCCAAGTGGGTATGCTATAGAGTGCATTCACAGTGTATCAGAGAGATGGAGGTCCATGCATGGAAGCACTGATCTGGAGGGCATAAGCAAAGCCCTGCTGGATCAGAACAAAGGCCTATCTGGTACAGCAGCCTCTTCTCACAGTGGCTAACCAGATGCCTGTGGAAAACCTGCAAGAAGGACCTTAGCACAAGAGCACGCTTCCTTACTTGCAAATCCCAAGAGGCTAAGGTGAGTTTGCATTTCGACTAAAGAGTAATTTCTGACGTTCTGCCCTCTCATTTCAATGCTGCCATCAGCGCTGTGCACACACTTCTATAAATAACTACTACATAATAATTGCTTTCTAAAAATTCAGATTTTGGAGCATAGCAAATAAGAATCCTATGTACATATGGAACATACCCAGCTACACCTACTGCCATAGTATAAAAGTGTCACACTGTGTGTGTGTGTGTGTGTGTGTGTGTGTGTGTGTGTGTTTAACAAATTCATTTATCCCCCACAGCTCAGACTTGATAATGAGGAAGACTGCAGAAGAAATAGCTTTCAAGTTATAACTAATTGCAGTTGTTTTCAGTGTAAAATATTCTGCGGGGAGCAGCTTGTAGGCCAGTTGATAAATGCACTGGACTTTGGAGACTTGAGATCAAACCCCAGTTCAATTACAGAGTCACTTGATAACTTTGGACAAGTCACGATTTTTCAGCCTCAATTATCAACCCATTAAATGGGAATAACAATGGGCAACCTTATGGGGCGTATTATAGAGAAGTCATACAGGGGCATATGGAACATTGGGATTTATAATGATCATAAATTTAAACAGACCACTCTTCAGACTAGAGGAACGCTGGGCTCTCTGCAGCATGAAATGTTAGCTAGATTACATGTGCAGTTGTCAGGTAGGTGACATGTTAGGTGACACTTTAGATAGATGGTGTGCAAATCCAATACGCCTCCTGCTTTACAGAGATGCTTCAAGGTTCTCCAATGCTTGGAGGAGGCTTTGAAATGATGAATGAGAAATGCATACCTGAGGTGTGTGTGAATACATCTCCATCCCTTTCAGTGTCTACAGACAGCAGTCGCAAGAAGGCCTGATCCAGATTGGGACCACAGCACTACACAAGCGGCCGGGGCTGCAGGGGAGAGATGCTAACTCTTCTCCTCACATCACTTTACCAATAAAAATTCATTTCAAGCTATTTGCCTTGCTGTAGAACAAACCACACACAGCAGCACATAGGCTATGCCTTTATATTTTCCAATGCAGGCAATAGCAGCATCGGGGGCAGGGTTTTCATTGGCATATGACACAGGGGCAGCAATGGGGCAGAGGGCTGCACAGCTACTGCCCTCCTGGACATGGGATTGCTGCTGTTTACCTGGTTAGGGCAGGGGTGAGGTCAGGTCAGGTGCACTGGCGAGAGTCCCCAACCTCACCAGTGCCCTGCCTTGCTCACTCTGTGCAAGCAGCAGCAGCACCACTGTCAAGAGGGTGGCTCAGTGGTTCTGCCCCACCATATGCATCACTAGGGGAGAAATTTAAACCAACAGGCAGGGCTGCTGCCACCACCACCCTGAACTAGATGTAAGAAAGAAGGCAGTTAGACAGCGTTCGAAATTTGGCAGGCGCATTTTGCACCTGGTTATCAGCCACTTCTCCTGCCAACCTAGCAGTTTGAAAGCACGTCAAAGTGCAATTAGATAAATAGGTACCACTCCAGTGGGAAGGTAAACTGCGTTTCTGTGCGCTGCTCTGGTTTGCCAGAAGCGGCTTAGTCACGCTGGCCACATGACCCGGAAGCTGTACACTGGCTCCCTCGGCCAATAAAGCGAGATGAGTGCCGCAACCCCAGAGTCGGCCACGACTGGACCTAATGGTCAGGGGTCCCTTTACCTTTACCTATCAGCCACTTGCGACCAAGTGAAGATGCCCTGGTGTCAGGATGCCACCTGACGTCTCCACCATCTGGAGGTGCATGCCTGGGGATTCTTGGACCTTGACTGTTTTCATGCACTAACAACACATCCTCTAGAATTCTGTCCATGATATTTTATCTGCACAACAAGAAGGAATTCCAGGAACCCAAAAGCCGTATTGAAAAATGCAACTTTCGAGCCATCTGGCCTCCAAATGGCAACTTGATGTTCTGTTTTGGCGACCATAAACCCATTTGGTGCCTAGCTTATATATCTTTTTTTTAAAAAAATGCTTTTTATTAAGTTTTCTTTAACACAAACAAAACAAAATAAATACATTAATGTTCTACAATCTTATGTACACTTATTTTCTCAACGCTCTATCGAGCACGGACTTCCCTCCCTCCCTTCAGGAGTTTTCATACTAATCTTCCCTTTTTTCACAGATTCTTAACACCATCCTATTCATGTCATAAGATTTATTTTAGTCCTACTACAGTCTTTAAACTTCTACAATCATTATGTATATACTCCACAAATTTACTCCATTCACTTCTGAACTCTGTTTCCTCTTGGTTACGGATTCTGTGGGTCAGTTTTGCTAATTCTACATATTCAACCATTTTTGTCTGCCACTCCATTATTGTTGGTATTTCCTGAGTTTTCCATTTTGGGGCTACTAAGATTCTGGCAGCCATCGTAGCATACATGAATAATCTCTGATCTGCTTTTCTTATTTCATCTATCAACCCCAGCAAAAAGGCTTCTGGTTTTTTTGGGGGGGAAGTATATTTAAACAATTTTTTCAATTCATTGTAAATCATATCCCAATTTTTTTTCATTTTCTCACACGTCCACCACATGTGAAAAAATTCTCCATCCTTCATTCTACATTTCCAACATGCTTTACTGATCATTCTGTACATTTTTGCTAGCTTGGCAGGTGTTAAATACCTAGCTTATATATCTTGAGTTTCTCACACTGCAGGCAGGTGGGGGCCGCTTGGGGGCAGACCGGTGGAGCAATGCCCTGTTTGTCCTCATGGAGTAGCCTCCACTGGTCTGAGGTCACTTAAATCCTCTTCAGAAATGTATGCATCAGTTAGGAGCATAAATAATAACCTCTCTTGAAGTGCAGAGCCTACGTGACTTGGCAAAGTTCACCCGCAGATAAAACTATGCTACAGGACATACAGTTAAGAGGGAAATGCCAGGGTAGGAAGATCACCGTACCACTATGTGTCTGCTTTTTTTATTCCTGGGAAGCCCTTCAGTGCTTTTCTCGAGCAAAATGGCAGAGAGAGCAACGCGTTTAAATGCCAGTTTGGAACAAGAACTTGGGGAGGGGAAGCACTGCAGGGTCATTTTGCACATAAAAGCAACCCCAGAACAACTGCCTTGGGAGCAGGATGTCTGTGGGATTCCTGGCTAGGCTGTGCTCTTGAGGTAGTGCTGTAAATTTGTTTTCTGCAAGGTTGCCAGCTTGGAAGCACTCTCACTGTCAGAGAAGTCTCCTCAGCTGCTGCACGTAGAGTTCCAGGTCCCACAGTTCAGAGCCGAAATACAAGTTTACAAAAGGTTGAGAATTTTTCAGGTTTTGCTGTTTGGGATTTGTTGAATCCTCTTGACCTCAAGGTTCATCACTGAAATGTCAGGATCAAAATCTCACCGCAGAACTCAGAGCGCCTCTTTGTGTGTAAACAACCCACAGTTAGATATAGAACATTGTCTCAGTGTTTTTTTTTATTAAAAAAAACATATCTATGAGCTGTGCAATTATTATTCAACTTTATGTGTTTTTAAACTTTTTTAAAATAAAAAAACCTTAATGCTGTGCTGTCTGCCTACTGAGCCCACTGAAAAAGTTCCATTTGTTTCTTGTGGGCACAACATGCATGGTACAACACATGCTTGACCTGCTTTCCTGAACAAAGAATTTACACAACCTGGTTGGTAACAGTGGTGGACTTTGGGCTGCAGGGTGGTGCCCAGTGTGGCTGAACCAGTCATGCTACCCTAAAACAGCCTCTTTTGGTGGCAACATTAACTTGAAAACCTGATGATTTTCAAAGGTTGTGCTATAAAATTTGCCAATGGCTTTCGTAACAACACAGTCTATTTTCATATATCCTGTACAACCGTTATAGGCAATGCAGTGTTTTGTGGCCTGTTCAGTGGGAGGTCGTTTCGGCTGAAACGCAAAGGATTCCGCCTCTCAGTTTGCTATTCCCCTGCGTACACAGCAGGGGTCAGCAAACTTTTTCAGCAGGGGGATGGTCCACCATCCTTCAGACCATGTGGTGGGCCGGACTATATTTTGGAGGGGGGAAAATGCCCCACAAATAACCCAGAGATGCATTTTAAATAAAAGCACACATTCTACTCATGTAAAAACACCAGGCAGGCCCCACAAATAACCAAGAGATGCATTTTAAATAAAAGGAGACATTCTACTCATGTAAAAACACGCTGATTCCCGGACCGGATTTAGAAGGCGATTGGGCTGGATCTGGCCCCCAGGCCTTAGTTTGCCTACCCATGGTACACTGCATACATTTAAAACACATTTTCCCCTCAAAGAATCCCTGGAACTATAGTTTCTCAAGGCTGCTGGCAACTGTAGCTTTGTGAGGGCTAAACTATCCCAGGGTTCTTGTGATGGGAAGTAGGGCTGTTCTTTAAATATGTGGTGTGTATTCAACTCTTCCTTGCAGGAAAGATGGACCTATAAGGTTGTTGTTTTTTGTCCCTTGCTGGTTGTACCTCCCTCTTATCTCCATGCTAGGGAGAACATGTGGAGGAGTAACAGCAGCAAACCTTTGGGGAAATGGGGCCTCCTGGGGGGGGGGAGGGGGAAACTTCATGGATTCCTCTGTGTCTCTGAATGAAAATCATATTTGTATGTCTGTTCATGGACTCAATTCAAACTTCTCAGAGCACATTTGTTGGCACTGTTTCCTTAAACTGACCTTTTCCTTTGTAAACATATGGAGCCAATTTTCCCTTGATGCAACTGAGTTTGCGAGAAAGAACACAAAGGACTTAGAACTATAGGGCTCCATTTGTTGACACTGCGGGTGCACACACAGCCTCGGTTGTTTTCATAGAGAGGACACCCTCTCAAAATGATAAACCAGGCACCTTATGAAACCTGGGTCAAACCTTTGGCACAATAAAGAAGTCTGAATCATGTCAGCTCTATAAAGCATTTTGATAGCCTGCCTGGGTCAAATTAATTTTGTATATTGATTTTGCCCCTAGTTATGTAGGTTAGTACATTATTTGTTCTCTTTAAAAGGATATTCTATGGCCTTAATGAATATATTCTTTACATAAATGCTCTATAAAAATAATAATCACAGGGTCTGCAAATATGTATTGATTCCACGTATTCTTTATCAGCTCCAGAGCAGTTCTTCAAGACACTTGAACAAAGTGAAAGGGTTTGCAGCTGAAATGTGGTTTGCATACATGCTAATATGGATACACAAGCGTGCATAACATTTGCCTAGTGTTTGTAGGCATTTGGGGCACAGTGGAGGGCAGAATACGTTGATTCCATACCTGCAGTATTTCTCTACAGCACTGTTCTTCAGTCTTAAATCCTTAGACATTGTTGGACTACAACTCCCAGCACCCCTAACCAGTTTAGCCAATAGTCATGGATGATGGGAACTGGAGTGCAAAATCTGGGAAGCCAAGATGGAAGAATGCTGCTCTACAGGATACCACAGACATTGCAACAGACATGTTCAGGCATTTGACTGAACACATGAATATCCAGTCTATGATTGAGGACCAGCCCTGCCCCATAACATTCCCAGGTGGGAAGACTGCTGTTTAGATACTTGTGCTCAACACACCTCTACAGAGTGGAAGGAATGCGAAGTTATATGGACACGCCGCAAGAGAAGATGATTGAAACTGTAGCAAAGGAAAACTTACCTGGAATGGGCATATATTGATGGTTTTTTCAGGCTCCATCTCTTTGGATGGGCAGGGCCCTGCACCAATTTTCCTTCTGGGGTCCAGAGCCTGGCATTTCTGTCAGAGGAGCTGTGGAGGATCACGGATCCTGAACCAAACATGAGGTCTTCAGTGCTCATCACACTCTTGTGATGGACTCTCCAGGAACCAGTGTGAAAATGGCGTCACCAGTATTTGCTAGGGATCTGAGCAACAGGAGACAGAGACAGATATTTTGTAGAACACCTCCTCTCACCCCTCTCTTTCTCCCTCCTCTGATCACGAATAGAGACTTTGCATTCTGCCCTCTTTTCCTGGTGGTTGATTGGGATATATGAATCAGGCTTCTCCCACCTGCTGAGCTTGCCTGCCCAGGATGATTTGCTCTTGTTTCACTTACAAGCGAAGTCGTTTCTTTTTATAAGAACTTCTAACTATGAACATTGTTACTGTCCCCATGCTATATTTTAACTGTAGCTTAATTGGTCAGACATTTAGTATGGCTGTGGTTGTTTTTAGCTGTTTTAAGCATGCTATGGGGGATGTGGGTGGTGCTGTGGTTTAAATCACTGAGCCTCTTGGGCTTGCCGATCAGAAGGTTGGCGGTTCAAATCCCCGCGATGGGGTGAGCTCCCATTGCTCGGTCCCAGCTCCTGCCAACCTATCAGTTCGAAAGCACGCCAAAAGTTCAAGTAGATAAATAGGTACCACTCCGACGGGAAGGTAAATGGTGTTTCCGTGTGCTGCTCTGGTGTTGGTGTTCCATTGCGCCAGAAGCAGCTCAGTCATGCTGGCCACATGACCTGGAAAAACTGTCTGCGGACAAACGTTGGCTCCCTTGGCCCGTAAAGCGAGATGAGTGTCGCAACCCCAGAGTTGTTTGCAACTGGACTTAACTGTCAGGAGTCCCTTACCTTTACCTTTTAAGTATGCTATTGATTTACTTGAGTTGCTTTATTTATTTATTTATTTACTTATTTATCAATAGAAGTGGTTCATAATTTTCTGTAATAAAAATCATATCTAGTAAATCCCGTTATTTGTGTATATATGGTCATGTAGATTCTTCAACTTACCCCATCTTAAATGACGGCAATCATGTAACAATACTTTCAAGTAAAACCCAAATAAATATATTTAGATAACCAAATGACTTGTGTTCAGGCTGTCTAAATGATTGCCTCCTTCCATATAATCTTTCCCATATCCTAAAATCTTATGGAGAGGCCCTTAGGAACACCATATGCCTTTGGCCCTAGGCAATACAAGTCTGACCTGTCCTGAAAAATTTCAGTGCTGGAAAGGTTGCTACCAGCTGTACTGGATGAGGCATCTATATGTTTACATATTAGACATATGTAAGGCGATGGCAGCATCAGCTGGTCAATGACAGTTGAAATTCAAGTTGCCTTGGCATTCCAGTCATATTCAGTTCATACTATACACCCTGTGTCCAAACAGGGTCCTATAAATAGGAACACAGGAAGCTTATAAGACTTTCTTGGAAATAATAATAATAATAATAATAATAATAATAATAATAATTATTATTATTATTATTATACCCCACCCCTCTGGCTGGGTTTCCCCAGCCTCTCTGGGCGGCTCTCAACAGAATGTTAAAAACACAATAAAACATAAAACATTAAAAACTTCCCTAAACAGGTCTGCTTTCAGATGTCTTCTAAAAGTCAAGATAGTTGGTTATTGCCTTGACATCTGCTGGGAGGGCATTCCACAGGGCAGGCGCCACTACCGAGAAGGCCCTCTGCCTGGTTCCCTGCAACCTCAGTTCTCACAGTGAGGGAACCGCCAGAAGGCCCTTGGCGCTGGACCTCAGTGTCTGGGCTGAATGATGGGGGTGGAGACACTCCTTCAGGTATACTGGTGCCATTGGTCTATTTGGTTTAGTTTTGGTTATACTGACTGGCAGTGGCTCTTCAGAGTTTCAAACATGTCCAGCCCTACCTGGAGATGCTGGGAATAAAACCTGGGATGTGGATATGTTGTTAAATGGAGGAGCTTTGTGACCCATGGAGCAGAGATACAGACTTAGCATCTTACAGTGGGCAAGAGCAAAGAAAACTAAACATGGAGCACCTTTGGAAAAGAACTGCTTGCCATGGTGGTTGGCTGTGAAATCTTCCAAATGCAACTACTGATTGAGTTTCGGATACAACACCTTGAAAACATCTCATCCTAAAAGATTCAAAGCTCTAAGCTGATTGCAGCACCTACCTTCAGCCCGTGACAGAAAATGGTTGCCCAATCCTGTACTAGGCCTTTGGTCTCCCAAGTTTAATTTTAAAACTATATTTATTTTTGAGGGAGAGAGGGAGGGAGGGAGGGATAAATACTGTTCCTCTTTCCTTCCTTGCATCCTGGTATTTCTTCTGTTTCTAACAGGATCTATTGATTTTGAAAACCAGGTATTTAGCCCAAGTATCATTGAGCCTATTTCTTACCAGAGCTTTTTTTTTTTTTGAGATGGCTAGATTCAATTCAAAACCTCTGTGGCAGTAAGCAAGGTGACATGACGGCTAATCATTAGCCCTCAGTGTCTTATGGAAATATCTGGAAATCCTTCCTTCTTACTTGTAATGATTTGCGACCAACTGCCGCTTCCTAGAATGCCAAATCAGATCACTTACCAGAACCTTCCAGAATCTTTCGTTCAAGCTTCTGTGATGCAGCCTGCTATCAACCTGCTCATATGTATCTCTGTATATATTCTGTATATATTCTACTACAGTGGCTGAATAATGTTGCAGTCATTCATTCCCACACTGGTATTGTGAAGTTCCCATGAGTGCGTTCCCAACTATCTCAGTGTCACACACAGTGAAGCCGGGATAGGAATGCACCTTACTTTTTAAGCATTGTGGGTGGGTGAGGGGAAGTCCCCACAGTATCCCAGCAGATTGAACATATTAAATAAGATGAAGCACAGGATGTCCTTATTTATAATGAGTTAAAGAAAATGTTTAAGACTTCATTCCCCCAAAACCGGAGACATTCTTATTAGCACTCATGACACCAGAAATCCAAAAGAAACACAGACCACTACTCATGTATGCCTCAACTGCAGCAAGGATTTTAATAGGAAGAAAATGTAAAGCAAAACCGTCCCCTCAAAGATCAGGGACGGTTTGCTGCAGTGATGTGTAAGGCGATTGCAGCGTGTGACCTGCTGGCCAGTGAGTTTGCACCTCATTCCTTCCGCATTGGTACTGTCACCACTGCGGCGCACTGGGGCCTGTTGACAGGATCAAGGATGTGGGCCACTAGAAGTCTGATACATACAGGGGTTATGTACGGAAGCAGCGCTGAAGTACGGTTATTAATATTATTTTGTTCATTACTAGGTCCTAGGCCCTGCACGTCTGGATAGTCAGGCACAGCATTGTCCACTGGGCCAGCAGAAGGGCAATGGAGTCTGGATTTGGACGCAGGCTCGGACTTCCCGACCACGTGCACATCTCCTGGGGGTCCAGACGAGGAATGTGTTGGGAGGAGCTTCTCATGATGGTGCGGGTGAAGATGTCTACGGAAGGCACGCCTGCGGCAATGGTGGTGCAGCTGGGTGAGAACCATTTGCTGGAAGCTCCCGGCTTGAGCTTGCGGACCCGCATGCAGGACTTGGAAGAGTTGAAGGCAGCTCTTCCTGGACTCAAAATTTTTTGGTCGCAGCTTTTGCAGCGACGTGTGTGGCGAGGTAGCCAACGCCCAGCTGCCACCGAGAGGGCCAGGAGGCGCGTCCAGAGTGCAGTGACCAAGAAGGTTCTGGCCTTGGGTGGGATGGTGATCTGTCACCAGGGCATTACCTTCCGTGATGCATCCCTTTACAGGCTTGATGGGGTTCATCTGTCTGTGATTGGGAATGATTTGTGGCTGACAGCAGTGTCAGTGGGGTTAAGGGATTGGTTACAGGAGTGAGTGGTTGGCGGCGAGCGCGGGTGCTCGTGTGGTGGATAGGCACTGGTTCAGGTGATAGGGATGGGAGAACAGTCTTGCCATCCCTATGTGAAGGGTATTCCGTTAAAGGAATCCAGGGACTCAAGTTGGTTTAGTCAACCCCCAAGAGGGGGTTGTGCCCGTGCCTGAGTCCAGGGGAGCATCTGGGGAGTGAACAGAGTCTGTTCCTGGGCTTTTCACCTACCTCAAGTGTTCACCCTTGGCTGACCTATGATAGAGCTCTGGGTCAGCGCTTCCTGCAAGGGTGCAGGGAGCTAGTCGAACCAGAGCCTATGCAACCACTCACTTTTCTGTAATCAATAAAGTTGTGGCCTAAATTCTGCCGAAAACCAAAACTAAAATTTGAGTCAATTGTGTGTTTATTTAGGGGGGAGGTCTCTGGGTCTGAACTTGCAAAAATAATGAAATGTATTGTTACGGCTAAAATCTGGGTGTGGGGTTACTCTGCCACCCAGCTCGTCGGACTAAGTCCGTGGGTCCCTGCGGAAGAAAATGAGCTCAGCCGGGCACAGGAGCAAACTGCAGAAGATCCAAGTTTATTGCGCAACAGGTTCAAGACGAGATTGAACAGCGAGAAAGGGGTGACATGAACTTTTGAAACTCCCTCCATGTCCCAGAATACAGTGCAAAATACATCCCAGTTACATCATGAATACCTTAAGAAGAGGTTGGGTTACACAGGATTAACATATGGAGGAGGGAGGGGAAATATGCAGAGCTGGAGATATGCGCAGATAAGCACATCCTGATTACCGGTGATGAGAAGACAATGGTCCATGTATGCATGGTCTGCCACCTGGCATTGCCCGCAGGAAAGGCTTGGCAGAGTGATTTGACAGGATTAGGGTCTTTACACCTTGCTTGAGGGATTATGGAGGACAGGGGAGGTGTCATGGAGTCCTAGAGAAATTGAGCAAATTGGCACGTTGATTTTCTATGGATTTCATAGATTTTAGTCCCTTTTGACATTGACAATTGGGAATAAATGGATATATTGTAGCGAAGAAGAAGGTGAAGAAGACATGCCCCCCCTTTCCGTAACAGTATAAACTTGAAAAGTATAAATAAAAACTTTTTTAAAAGTTTCTATGTACTCCTTCTCTTTCTCTTTCTCTTTCTCTTTCTCTTTCTCTTTCTCTTTCTCTTTCTCTTTCTCTTTCTCCTTTCCCTTCCCTTTCTCCTTCCCATGTTGTTGTTGCAATCCATTTCAAATGTTAACTTTATCAGGAGAACCATAACTCCAGACAAAAGACTAAGAGTAGCCCTGATGGATCACGTCCAGCACCCTGTTCTCATAGAGGCCAACTAGATGCATACAGGAATCCCACAAAGGGGACCTGAACGCAGTAGGGGATCTGGCCACTTGTGAAACCCAGAGTCTGGTATTCAGAGGCATTTTGCCCCTGACAGAGGACTTTCAGTGTGAAATTGTTGAAAGTGCTAGAAAGCAGCTCTTTATGGAGCTAGTAAAAAGGGCTGCGCTCCCCAGGCTTCAGGCAGCTATCCACAAGCCTTCGGAGCGCACCCCCAGCCCCGCAAGCTCCGGGAGCGGCGCCAAGGCTGCGCGCAACCTCGCCGCCGCTCCCGGACCCGTTCTGGGGGCTGGGGTCGGGGGAAGTTCGGGCTTCCCCAGCCCCAGCCCCACGGCTAAAAACGAAGCCAAGACAGCGAGCGGGATGGATCCTGCTCACTGTCTTGGCTTCTTTGCTCTTTGGGGCTGGGGAGGGGGGAATACTTTTTTTTATCTATTTCCCCCCCCCCCAAAAGCTAGGTGCGCCCAATAGTCCGGTGCGCCCTGTGGAGTGAAAAATACGGTATTCCCTCAAGGACAGGATAAAAGGATGATTGTTGAGCATGGTGCTTTGTTTGTGCCTAAAGTTCAGCTTTCTGATTCTGAGTGATATGGGGGGGGGGGGGAACATCCCATAGGGGACTAACCTTTGAGGCCCCTCTGTTGTAGTCTAGCAATTTTGAAAGCTACATAAGTGAGCCAGTGAAGGCCAATTCTCTATCTATCTATCTATCTATCTATCTATCTATCTATCATCTATCTATTTATCTCCTCCCTGCCTGCCTACCTCACTATTCGACGTGTTAGGGTTCCCATAGGTAAAAACAAAAACGCCAGCTCTTACACTCTGTGTACAATACACCTTTATGGTTCTATTTCTTGCTGCTGTAATAAGACTTCGCTGGTATCTGCTGAAGATGGCACTTGCTATTTCTTCATTTCCATGGTGTTGTTTATCATGAGGTTTCTGGTGCCGTTTCCCACAACAGTAGCGGAACTGTCACATTCTGTCACTACCTGACAAATGGTAAATAGCCAGGACTGAAAAGAAGACCTGCCTGAAAAGGTTCGACATAAAAGCTAGTGTCAAATATGC